CTGTTAAATGTCATCTTGTGACGTCAGTGAAAAAGCCCTATTGGAATATGAAGTGTTGTATGTTTTCAAGAGCATTTTAATAATTAAGAAGGCCGTTTGAAAAGCAGCGATGATGTCTGAATGAAAGACATGACAATGGCAAGGTGTGTTCGATTCTCCACAGTCCGCTAATGTCGGATAACGACGCTGAATGAATCAGTGCTGGCTGCTGGGCTTCGATCAGTATAAAAAAAAAGGGGGGAAATGATGTTAACCAGGCGAACGTCAAAGTTCTGCGGACTTGCACAATTTGCAAATGTTAGTCCCTTGGAGTCAATGAAATCAAGTTAACGCTTTCCCTACTAGTCCCAATTTCCCTATTAGTCCCCTAAAAAAAAATTATTTCTATAGTTATACATTCGCATGCCAGAAAAGGCATTTAGTTTCGATAGCAAGTTGACAAAATTGACGATCGGCAGACGAAATATTATCAGTTGTCCCAAGTAATTAAAGGTACTTCATGGGAAGATTTCCGAGGACGTATTTATGTATATATGTACTTAAAGGTACATATATAGCAGAAATTGACACCCCCTGTCCCAAATCGAAATTTCGCATTGGAATTATTATAAACGTCGAGCCAATAGGCACTTTTCTAGACTCAAAGGTCACCGGCGTTAACAGGAAGTAGATTCAAAAGTCACAATTACGATGGGTCTCTTCAGGGGTTTATAACTAAGACTAAGAAGGTGCGTCTTGAAACTTAATCGCCTTAATTGCCTATAACGCTTTTAGAGCACAGGAACGCGGAGTGCAAACGGGAAGGGTTTAAACGACACTGAGTAGCCTTTTAGGTGCGTAATGCACTTTGCCTCATGTCCAGTTGCATCTACACGCAAAGTGGAGATCAAATCTTATAGACAGTGTTTGCGAGGCATTTGAAAATCGTCTCGAAAATCGAGCATCACAACTGTGAAGGGCTCTGCTCAGATGCCAATAACTTCCTAATTCTCTGATTTATAGTGATTTCACTCATGTTAAGTCGGAGAATCATGCAGGAATTGGTCACGTTTTCCCCTGTATATATTTACCACCTTCCTCGCATAATACCTGAAGCTGCTTCATCATGTAGCGGAATGTCACATGTTTCAGATGATATTTTACTCGTCTTTCAAGGCTTATGGGTTATCGAACGGTGGGACTTCATTCACGTTCACCTGCAAAGTGCAGCAAACGATGCAGTTTCATTTCCTCCTTCCCTCACTTCTTGCAGTCTCTCACCTGTCCAATCTTCTTTTCCCTTTGCTTCCTTCTGTCCAGGGATACACGTGGCAGGCTTTCACGTTGTCGCCACTGTCGACACACTGTCGAACACGACGACACTGTGGAAACCACCACAAGTGTGGTGGTTTGACCCACAATTTCTGATGATGCCTATAAGGAATCGCCTTTCTAGGTGAACCGGTTTCCGAGCAGTGTGATTTATTTCTGTTATTGTGCCTAAAATTGGTCAGCAAACGACAAGGTCAACGGAACTCTAGTGCATTTTCACATCAGTCTACCTCTTCCCCTTCCCCCTCTCACATGCCAAGACATGCATGGCACTAGCATTCACGTTCAACCTCATACAGTTAGACCTAGACCGTACATATGAGAAATGAATTTCTTCCCACCTCCCTTTCTACCTTGCCCTTCTCATATCTTGTGACCCCCCCTCCCCTTTTGGTCCCCGACCCCATTTCCAGGAGCAACTTACCAAATGGACTCTTTAGTTCTGGTCCCCCTTTCATCTGCGTCTTCAAGTTTCACATATGGGAAATATGTTCTGAAATTTCGAAGGAAATGTTCAATGAAATTTTCTTAGCTTCTCCATACTCCATTGGAATCATTAGAGATTTGAGAGATCTGCCCTCGTGACAAGGAGAGTGCGACTATCTTTGCCTGCGACGAAAGAGCGCAACGACCTAAAGTGCATGCGACGTTTTGTGCGCGACGAACTGTCCGCGACCATTTTGGCTGCAACGAAAACGCTTGTAACCACTCCTTCCACATTCAGTACATGAGGTACTACATGCTCAATCCATTTTTTCGCCGAGCGCTAGAAAGTCTTCACGAGAGGAATGGACTTCGCCTTGGGTTGATCGCTGTTTTCATCGCCAAAAAATAGGAGAGTAATATTTTTTCTGAAAATGAAAATAAAGGGAAAAGACCGCATGTAACGAAAACAAAAGATAATAAAATTATCTGAAAAATGAAGATTTCGAAAAGTCAGACCTTGAAACTCTTTACTTGTCAAAGGTCAACTGACGAGGGGTTGGGGGAGGAAGGAGGGAGGGGGTGTTACAAATACAGGTACGTTTCCACGGCTGCTCCTATTTTAAAAAAGCTTTCGGAGGAAGTGGTAGTCGTCGACCAATACCCTCTTACGTACTGGAAAGAATGCAATAGAAATTGCCGCCAGAGAAAAAGAAGTCTAACTTCTTTTCCGATTTTTCGTCGGGGAGTGAAACCGGAAGAATGACGGTCTCCCAATATTCTTTACTTATTGGTTGGGAGGAAAGGGATGAAACCGGGTGAGTTACCATCCCTATTCATTAGAGATGTTGGATGCCTCGCGTGTGGAAATTTTCAAGTGTGATCTGTGAACGCCGAGTTCTTTCAAATGGAGGGCGGGTTGGAAAGAGATGGATTGGGAAGAAGGCGGCGAGCATGAAAAAAAAGTTTTAAAAGAAAATAGCGCGACAGAGGTGTGCTAGCGTCTTGCTTCTCCCATGCATGGGAGGGCAAGTCTAGAGTCCTTTCTTCCTAGTGCGTAACATGTTATACGACAGTCCGTGTTGACCCTGTTTAGGGTAGTAAGTCGTTGGCTAAGTGGATCTTTCCGTTAAACCCACAGTAGACTTAGCACCCAGTAAGGTGGTCAACAGTCTCGGAGGAAAGCACCTCGTGGTCGTTGGCAGGAAGAAGGAATGCAGGAGAAACGCGGTCGATCGCTGCATGATTCTTCGACATGGCCTCAGTCAAATCGTTCTTGGTCTGAGGATAATAAACACATTCGCGCATGATTCGGCAGAGCCATTTTTCATAGTCGTCTCGAAGGATCTGTGTGAAGAACTCAAAATGTATTAACCTCGTTCTGAAGATCTCTGCCCAGGGGTGGAACTAATTCCGCATTCGGATAAGGTCCTTTTTTCATATCTTGGTGATGCAAAAGATCTTGAAATATGCTACCTTTCTTTGGGAGATATTGAGGGCAAGAAGTATTGAAAGCCCTTCTGTCGATGAATTTGTACGTATTTTTTATCATTTGAGCTCTCTGCACGTTGCTTTGCAAAATTTGGATTCCTAGTGAAGTGTTATGACCCCGTTTCATTCATGTCAAACGTGTGAAATTTTTGCTTCCCATCTGCATTTTAATGCCTCAAAAATTAGCAACCGTGGCGGGAGACATTCATCCGCGCCCGTTTTCCGCACATCCACACCGAATTAGAATTGCCTTCTAGGGAGAGAAGACAAGGTGGGGGAGAAAGCGGCGACACGCCAATAGTATTATGTGCCAATAGGAATCTCAGGAGGGGGGAATCGAAAGCGGAGCCTTTGATTAAAAAGAAAAAAAAGAAAAGAAAAAAGAAAAAGAGAGAAGCGTCCAAGGGACGAGAAAAAAATCAATACAGGGTGCCCCAAAAAAGGGCACTCATTCCAACTCGCATTTTAGGTTTCAAGCTTTCAAGGATACTTTTTCTGGTTCCATGTAATGGAAAGGAGAAAGACAGCTACAAAATGGTTTTTTTTTTTAGAAGGCCGATTTTTCGCAACCGAAATTCAATCAATTTTTCTTAAGTCATCCTTTAATATATTTCAAATCTGAAAATAAGTATTTTGTACCTGTTTCTTTCTTCTTTCCATTAATATGGAACTAGAAAAAATATTCATGAAAGCATCACACCAATAATGCGAGTTGAAAAGAGTGCCCTTTTTTGGGCCACCCTGTAGAAGAGGCGCCAGTTGAAGTCGCGTCGGACTCCTGCTTAACCTGCTACTCACTAGTACACAGACACACACAATCACCCGCACGCACAAGTGGATGTGAGACGGGAGGGAGGTCCAAGAAAGAAGAGCTGCGCAAGAGGATTCAAGATTTAATGCAAATCGGGAATTAAAACCCTGCGTTCTCTATCACCTGGGAGAAAGTAAGCAATCTTGGTGTCATTTGATCCCTGAAACATATCTCTATGCGATAGGAAGAAAAAAATCCGGTATTTGCGACCGATGAACCGAGGAAATCGACTCGGTAGGACAGAAATGGCCTCAATTTTAAAATGGACCACAGCAAAAAGCGATAGGCTCCGAGGATAGCGAACGGATTCCCATGAAAATCCGCACGAAGCTTCTCGAGAGATTTCTTAAGAGATTTATCAGAGGAATTTTTGAATTTCGGCTTCGTTTTCGAGCAATGTCCGTCGACCTCGAGTGATTTCCAAAAAAGTGGAATTTTCGCGTGGATTGTCGAACTTTGAGAGCGAACGGTTGGAGGAAACGATGCGCAACTCCGCCAAAAGATGGATCAGGATAGCCTCCAAAAAGTGTAGCATGTTTTTGTCGATTGAAAATTTCTGCGAGGAATGAGAGCGAAAAATCAGAATCCGAAAACGGAAATTTTTCTCTGTTATGGCGCCATGGCGTCTCGATAACGACGGTTACATGCATGTATTTTTTTATTTTTTCCATTTAGCGTGATATCTTCCAATGAGAATGGCACGAATTTGACGTTTCTGCGACCAATGGTTGGGGAGATACAAATTTTCGAAGAGAGGCATGTAAATCGTGACCTTCGACCTCAAATCATGGCGTGACCGCAGAGACTAAATCGACGTCTGCAAAGTCTACAATGGTCGACAACTGGTAGATCGGAGGGTAGTCTAAACAACAGCAACCCAATGATCATACATAACTGCTACAGATCCTTCAAGATGTATACTGTGCGCTATAGACTTCAGGGACGCAGTCTACTGAGCCCTCCAGTTTCCACGGGAAACTCACTATCGAAACGTGATGAGCATCCAGGCCGGATATCAAAGACCCACGCTTGACGACCTTCATGGGGCCTCATTCCACGATAAACCCACGGTATGTCTCCAAATCCTCGTCTTGTCGCTGCTTGAATCGTGACGGATGAATGCAATCCGATCGATGTGGCTCTTCTCTTGTCCATTAGACGAGTCCAGACGACAAGCCAGCCGATGAAGAGAAAGCCAGCCGACCTAGCCAGAAGGGAGTCCACAAGATGGGATGGATGGAAGGCGTCCTCGTGAGTCTCTACAACTCATTCATATTAGTAGGGATTCGCATCGATGTCGTGTTGTTGATGATGTCGATGGCGATGTTCGTCTCGCAGATGCCGTGCCTGCTGAACATCTGGGGAGTGATGCTCTTCTTACGACTTACCTGGGTCGTCGGTCAAGCCGGCATCGGTGAGTTCCTCCACTCCTCCCTTTTCATTGGAGATAATTGAATTTCTTAGAGCTTGATTATTCCGTAGGCGAGGGCCTCCTTCTCATCAGTGCGTCCAACCTGGTCACCATTATTACCAGCGTCTCCATGTCTGCAATCGCCACCAACGGGCAGATCAAAGGAGGTATTTTGCATCGTTTCTTATTTAAATTTTCCTGGGGGAGCCAGTATTTATGGCGGTATATCATGTTGTAGGCGACTCTGACATGATGTGGAATTAATACTTTGCCACCAACGGGCAGATCAAAGGAGGTATTTTGCATCGTTTCTTATTTAAATTTTCCTGGGGGAGCCAGTATTTATGGCGGTATATCATGTTGTAGGCGACTCTGACATGATGTGGAATTAATACTTATCACAATCAGACTACCAGCGTGTTCGAGGTTTAGGTGATTTGACTCTGGACTCCTTAAATACTGTACAGTATATAATGTATTTATTGTGATAACCAACTTGGAAAGAGGCCAATAATAATAAAAACCAGAATATGGGTATAGAGTCAATATAAAAATCTATTTCCTTAAATGGTCACTAGGTAGCAGATACTAGGTGAACAATACCTGAATATGAACCAAAGTAGGGGTTGGGACACAGACAACACACAATCTCCAACGATACTGCAAGGGTTCACTGAATATCCCCCGTCCTTCTCCCCACTATCCTTCAATCCGACTTCTTATCCGACTCACTGACTCGACACACACGACTCTCCCGCGCGGACACTTTATTTCGTTATGTCGGACACGCGCATTATCTTTTACAGTGATTTCATCCTCATTATATAAAGTACCTTCTACAATGTAGAGCAATGCCAGGTTAGTCTACTTTGTGCCGCACATACCAAGGGGGTCCTGACCTCACTAACGGAGGATACGTGGTCCAGTCGCAAAGCTACAGAACTGGATTTATTTCCAGCAAGTGAACATTTGTATGCGGGTCATTTACATCTATGAATGATCACCCTCAAAGTACTTCACCCCCCCCCCCTCCTTCCGCAATAAATTTATTCCAGCGTTCAATAAATGCAAGCAAGCACACTGGGAATGACTGCACAAGCTTGTACTAGCATGACATGAAATCGATTAGAGTTTCAAGTGTATGAGATGAATATTAACGAAAAAAAACTTGCCAAACAATCCGATTTCAATAGCGGATTCGGGGTCAGAAAAATCGCCCAAAACGGTTACCTAGCAAGTTTTTATTGATGAAACAGAACAGAAAACTCCAAAAGACATGCAGAAAAATCGAGAAAAGTTCGGAATTGGTGATGATGGCAGCGCTATTAAAGGCGTCAGTTTCCTTTCTCTTTCTCTCAAGCCGCTTCACTATAATAAACCCGTCGTTGAGAGTGTAACTGCAAGGAAGGGTCAATGACATCTCTGGAGGCGATTTCAGCAAGTTAAAACCATTGATCCCCGTACGTTTGATCCGTTTGATCCATTGAGGGTAATTGGGATGCTTACCATGCACCAACTTGATGCTTGCATCAGCCTGATGCATGAAGCCGATACATTCATCCAAATTAGCCTACATCGATGAAATACCCTATTAGCTCGTTGAAATGTCCTCCAGAGATCTCATCTTGGCCCTGCCTTGCAGGTAGCCCATGTAGTGAAAAGTATTAAATGATCAAAATGATCAAAGAGGGTTCTGGTGACAGAGTTTCCTTTCTGATGAGACCGTATTAAATGCAATACTTTGCCGAGCTGTGAACTTCGGCATGCTGCCTTGAGTCCCGTGAGTGCTAAACGTATTTCTCTATCTATACCCATTCTCTAATATTTACTTTTCCATATGCGACCACAACTCCCCTCCCCATCCCCTTTTCCCCTTATTTGGCGGGCTTAATAGAAAACCTTATTTGACAGATATAAACATCTGTCAACGTCTGTCAAATGGCAGGCGCATCCACACACTCTACAGGAATCTCCAAAAAACTTTGGCACTTCCCGATCGAATACCTGGTATTCATTTACATTATTTATTTTACATAATGAACCCATTGAATGGACTGCCCGCAGTTCCACGCCAATAATGTTACTTTTCTGCTATTGCTCATGCAAAACCTTGATTTGAATCTCATTATACCACTTTGGGATGAATTTGAATGGAATATTGGGCTCCCCCTCTCCTCACGCCCCCCAAAACTTTTGAGATTGTCCTATGCCCCACGCGAGGAATGGAATATCTACCCTACGTCAATATCGAGTGTAAAGCGTGTTATGACGGGCACATGAACCAATTACAACGAAAGGGAGACCAACCACATTTTAAAAATAACCTTGTTTGGATGGATTGAAGAATGCGCTAGGTATTCAAAACTCGTTGGAGTACAGTATCATTGCTCTGTAGGGGGAATCTACTACATGATTTCACGGTCTCTTGGAGCGGAGTTTGGCGGTGCCATCGGACTCATGTTCACGATCGCGAACTCCATCGCATGTGCCATGCACTTGATCGGGTTCTGTGAATCCATCAAGGATCTTCTCAGACTGGAATTCGACAACATGGTGATCTTGGACGGTGGGCACAACGACACGCGGATCATCGGATGCATCACTGCTGTCGTCATTCTTGGTATCGCCATCGTCGGTTTGAAATGGGTCTCCAAGGTATCTCGATGGGCACCTATCATAGTCATTGTACTCATCACGATCCTATTTTCAATATCCTATTCTCTTTATTTTTACATCATCACTTTGCCTCAATTTGGGTGCTGGGCATTTGGACTTTTTTAAAGGGATTTTACCCTTGAAATGATTCTTTCTCTATGGGTCATTCCACGTCAGATCGACCAGAGATTTTGGTCGACCATCACCGATTTCGCTGAAATTTGGTGAGGAGGTAGCGTTTGGTCCAAAAGCGGGAAATCCAAAATATATTTTTTTTTCTGACCAAAAGTGGGTCCGTAGCGAGGTCGCAAAATTTTGACCTTTTTTAGCTGGTCAGGCTGACCTCTATCGGACTTTCTTCAATAACTCCTTAGCTATTTGTCATAGAATGTTCATTTAGGACTCCTTTTAAAGGTCTCTTTTGACCCTATATTGTTTATTTATTTCAAGCTTATATTCTCATATACTAATTTTTTATGCCACCAACGGGCAGATCAAAGGAGGTATTTTGCATCGTTTCTTATTTAAATTTTCCTGGGGGAGCCAGTATTTATGGCGGTATATCATGTTGTAGGCGACTCTGACATGATGTGGAATTAATACTTCAAAGATCAAAGGATCAAAGGAGGTATTTTGCACCATTCCCCATTGAAATTTTCTACTTCGAAAGTTACTACTTCAAATCCTCTATCCCCCCCCCCCAAAAAAAAAAAACAAGATGGGCAAGCCCAGTCCAGCAGTGGGCCTCCTTTCATCTAAGGAGACCCTCATTTTGTCACCTACTTGAACGAAATGCTATCTCTTTCCGGTCCTCAATCATCAAAAATCTCTTTTCCCAGTTAGATTTGCCAATACTATCCATGGTGTCCATGAAATGATGGGAGTAAGGAGGGTTGTGCGTAGTTCGATCCATCAAGCACGAAGGTTAGTAGAGAACTGACAGCATACGTTGGGAACACGACACTGCGCCGAGGGCCTGGTTATTACTCTCACGCGCATTGTGGTTCAGATTCTAAAAGGCTCTCAGGAACTCATGCCTTTCCCCCCCCCCCCTCCAAGTAAATTTCAAATCCTAAATTCCCGATAAAAATGGCAATTTTGGGGCTAATTCGCCACAAAACGAACTCTGCCTGTATCTTGTTAATATTTACCTGCTTGTCCATTTTCGCATTGGTTAGGCCAATATTTTCTTAGTTATCGTCGGGCAACCAAAGTGTGACACAGACGGACAAGATGGGACCATTAATGATCTCTTTCCTTTCAGGAATGGAGACCCACTAAAAACCAAGCGTTCTCCCCTGAATTTGTTGAGTGGATGTTGTTCTCCTTGCTCGCTTGCGTATCGATCGCGGCGAAATCTTTAAAGTTGGAAAGGCCTCTTTTTATTCCTTTCATTCGGTATCCGATATGTAACTCTTGCATGAGTTTCGATAGGGGACTCGAGGAGAAATGGAAGGGTTCGTCTTCTCCTTTGCCTCCGAAAACGCTTTCCTTTGGTATGGTTTATGAAGGGGACCCAGTACCATTTGATTTGGACTGGCTGGTAAAAACGCTTTCGGATTCCTAAACGCTTGTTCCTATACATATGAACCTTATATCAATGTCATCCACTCATTAATCTGGTTCTTTTGATGGTACTTAGTGCTGCATCAAGTACTAATTAGTACTTGATCTCAGTATCTCGAAAACGGCAATATTGATTTTAAAATTCCATGGTTATTTCACAGAGATTATCTCTACTGTTAAAGATTTGCGAGCGGGTGTTAAAAAATTGGGTGCGTTTTCATAGTAGTCATGTCAATAGTTTGCGCCATAGAGGTCCATTATAATGGTTTGCTTGCAGCTCAAAAAATAGATGGGAGATCTGTCCCATGCACCCAAAAAAAAGGCGCAAGGTGAAGGAAGCTCCGCCCTCCTCGACCCCAATTGACCAGCTTCCTAGAATTTCTTTGAACTAAGGCGGGGGTGTGCAAATCAAAAGACTGCGAGGGCCACTTGCGATATTTACTCACATTCCGCGGGCCGCAGTCTAGCTGACCATAGCTGTGACCAACAGGGCAGGAGCCATAGTAGCACTTAGAACGCCACCAGTCACGGCGGCCCGTGGGCCGTATGTTGTGCACCCCTGACATAAGGGGACGTACCATTGAGACTGATTCAAAGGCCTCCCTTCCTTCCCCTCCCCTCTTTGAAAAAAAGGAAGACCAGGCAATAATGATATGGTATATGGACCGATTTACGCTGTCTTTGATGCGGATACTCTCACATCCGCAATATAGCCGCCAAAGAAGATATCACTTTCTTGTGTCATTTTTCGGTTATGTCTATTCCGCTTAATGGCAGATACGAAGGCAGATTTTGGCTGCTAAGGGAATGGCTTATTCGTTCTGTTGATTTCCCGCTGAGGCTCCAAAGACAGGTTCTAAAATAATGAGAACCTTGACTCCAACCTAGATCAGGACGACATGACGCAAAGACAGGTCCAAGTGACATCCAAATAAGTAGAAGTATAACTGCAAGGATGGAACTATCAGAGACGGTCAGAATAATACAACTGATGTCGCAGAGCTTTCAAAGGATTTTACTCCTGACAATTGAGGAAAATGACGTCCTTTTCTCTTCGACCCCTAAGCCATTTTCCAAACGAATGTACCTAACCAGCTTGATTTTGACCCCATGTGCTAGGAAGTGAGATCCTCCCTCACGTATGTGACGAGTTAAGCATTCCCCTCGAGGAATCCATGTCTAGACGGGAGGAAAGGAATGGGAAAAACGAAGAAACCAGACGGTGAAGGCGAAGTCTCTTTTCCTTCCTCAGATGGGAAAGAACGACTTCATTTATCAGTGACTTCTGTATTCAACGACCTGTTCACGAAAACAAACAAATGAGTATATCTCTGGTATGAATCGGCAACATAAACTCTCTCTATTGCGTCAAGCACAGTTCAAGAATGTTCATGGGATATTGTGGAGCTTTTGTACCCGTGAGAAGCAGCACGGTGGCTATCAACAATTGGAGCCGATGGAGAATCCACGCCGTCTTTTGATCTATGCTTTGAGTAAGGAGAAAGACAGTTTAATGTCTGCCTGCAATGAGGAGAACCTTCTTCGATTCAGCCAGGAAATACAGCACCTAAATACAACCTGGCTTCCAAATAAAAACCATGCTAATTGGCATCGGTAAGCCACATGCTCTGTTAAGGCTATGTCACTTTCAATGAAACCTTAAAACAGCTTAGTTGCAATTTTCGACCATCCAATATTTCAAAACACTTGATTCTAATCCTGATATTGGTTTGTAGCATTGCCACTACTCTATAGTTATGAATGAAACGGGAAAGGAGTGAGGGGTGGGCTTCAAGGAGCCTCGTGCGCCGCCCCCTCGCCTTCGCCCTTGGCCCGAAAGCCGGCGAATGTGAAGGGGGGAGGGGGGGAGACACTCTGACATTTATGAAACGCTTCCGCCCTAGTTCCTTTTTTCAGGTAGGGTTCTGCACCGCCTTATTGGAGGCATATTATCTGGCGGAATACCAGACATCTGCTGTTAGAGCCTGCTTCGATCCGCACATATCAAGACAGATTCAAATATTGATGCCACTGACAGAAAATGTAAGAATGTAGGTACATGGAATGTATCATTTGCGCATGTCTTCGACCCATGAAAAAGAAAACTGTTGGGACATAGGAAGCCACGAATCGACAGGAATTTTTATTCGGATGATGTACGCTTCTTAAGGTACAAATAAAATATAAAAATTGACCCCCCTGGATCAAAATTCCGCTCTGTAATTATTGTTAGGGACCTCGAAGGAGGGCTCAAGAGCCACTTTTCGAGACTCAAAAGGTCACCGGCGAGGACAGGAAGTAGGGTCAAAGGTCACGATTTCGATGGGTCCCTTCAGAGGCTTTTATCTCCGGCATCGTTCCACGCAGAACTTTGAAATTAGTCTCATTCTCTTTCTTAGACTCTATTTTAAACACTGATGTAAAATTCTTGATGATGCTACCACGGGTTCGGGATGGGGAACGAATTTTGCGAAAATCTCGTCTCGTTGCGCCTCACGTTTGCCCCTCCCGAACCCCTTGTAAGAAACGCATCGAGAAATCCATAAGTCAGATTTTGCATCGTGTCCAGTTGCATCTTTATGCAAAGTGGCGTTCAAATCTTATGGACAGTTTTTGCGTGCCATTTGAAAATCCTCTCGAAAATCACGCGGTTTTAGCTATTTCGAACTTCGGACCCAGATTACTCGGGAACGAAAAGGAGATGCTGCGATTTTTGTGCACCAATATTTAGAGACAATTGTCATGAAGGGCTCTGCCCAATTATATGCCAAAAAATTCATAAATCTTTGATTTATAGTGATTTGACTGATGTCAAATCGGAGAATCCTGCAGGAATCGGTCACGTTTTCCCCTGCCTGCCTCCTCTCTCACAAAATACGCAAAGCTGCTTCCGCGCATCATGTGGCAGAATGATTCACGATTCAGATGGTACTTGAACCGTCTTCTAGGTTTACGGGTTATCGCATGGTGGGACTTCATCCACCTTGAAGTTTTTTTTTCCGCCTAAAACGGCATGAGCAGACGACAGGATTCACGCACATCCTCTCGCACATTCCCTCTCCTTATTGCCCTTTCACCCCCTCCTCTCCCCCCATACTCTCGTGCCAGGATGTCTCTGGCACTTGCTTTCTCTCTCTTCCCCCCCCCCCCCNNCTCTGGCACTTGCTTTCTCCCTCCCCCCCCCCCCCCCCCCTGTCTCGTCGTCTGGACGTGTGACTGGGACAGGGACACGCTTCCAATCCCTTCTACCTTGTCGCTCTTGAAAATCTTATCCCCATGTAGTGTACTAAATGCAGTCTTATTTTCACTGGTCGCATTGATGCTTGCTGCATATGGAACTTTCCATGTAACCGGGTTTTGCACATAAAAAACTGTCAACCACAGCGGAAACTTACTCCTAATTTGATTTATTTAGTAATGCAAAGGCTTTCTTCTCAACTGAATTACGAACTTTGTCGTCGAGAGATGAGTGTTGTGAGTGCAACTGTATGGAATCGTTGATTATTCCCGCTGCTAATATGACAGAGAAAAGTAATGAGTTTTTTTTTCCGGCCGCAGTTTTTCTAGCGGCTTTGGAAAGTGCAGTTTCTACGTTGAGATGAGTATTTTATTTATTTATTCCATCGTTGTTTCGCCGGGAAAGAACGTGTACACTCCGAAGTGTACGAGGGACGCGTAGTGGAAAATCCAAATTCGGACACTTGACGCATTCCCTGGGTAAATTTCTCGTGAAGTCCTTGAATGCATCAAACTCTAGGAGAAAGAGCATATATGAGGCTCTTCCTTATGCCTGTGGTATTGCCTTGTGCGAACCAATACTGGAATGGATTCAGCATTCTTGATTATCTTCTCGGTTGATATCACTTATGGCTTCCAGAAAAGCTTTTTTTTTTGGAGTTCGTCTGAGGAAAAAAAAAATTAAAGCAAATTTTAGAAGTGCTAATATAATAAACTGATTACCGCGTCTGGATTCGTATTTTTCTCCCTCCTGATCCTATTTCATGTAGGTGATAGTCAACCATGACTTTGCACATGGTTCTCCGTCCACATCCGATGAGCTAGGTCGCAATACGAAGTGGAAATTAACTTGTTCAATCTAATGTCTGCATGCTATTCAGGGTCAGCATTAGGGATAGGGGACGAAACAAGATCGGGAGAAGAGATACACGTGCTTCTATCCATAGGCGGCGATTCATGGGGGCTCGGCTGGCTCGAGCCCTCAAAAAAATTTGGCAGCAGGGACTCACAGCGAGGACATGGGAATAAGGAATACACGCAAGAGTTATATCTCTGAGCCCCGGCATATTTCTCAACAAATCGCCACCTATGCTTCTATCACTCTGAAATGCATGTCTTGTGTACAGGGGTACAAGCAAGAAGTGAGTTCCATCCTGAAGATGAATAATTGCAGATAGCGTAGGGTTGATCCTTCCTTATCGTTGATGGATGCATCTTTCCAAAACCATTTTGAGCTTCGCTCAGCAGCCCCGAAACTTCTTTAGCGTAAATTCAGCAATTCGGTTCAGTCTGCTTCGAGAAAGACTTGCTTATTAGTATTAATACTGCTGACAGACGTTTCTACCACATATTTCAGTTTTCATCGACAAGATCTCCGTTCCTCCAAATCAGGCAAAGAGTTAATGAAAAGCAAGGCTTCATTCAAATTACCTGTACCAACAAAATATTCGTATTCCTCCCTATATCCTTCAAATCAACGAAGAAATTTCGATAGGAAATAACTGCCATAGATAAATATTTCGTATTTTGCATTTATTTATTTATTTTTAAATTTCACTTCCCTTCCCTTTGGACACGGTGAACCACAACTAATAAAAATGAAGATTCAAATAGTAAACGAAGCACATTCTAGGTTCGTTACTGATTATGGAGCTTAGATTCCCTGAAACTGTTTCAGCTTTACACCTGGAGAACATCCACCCCTCAGGCGTGAAGAGCTAAGCGCTTGTGCACTGACAGCAATGAACTGATTCACATTAGAAGGCCTTCACAATCTAAACGCTGTTAGGTCCGCTGGAGAGGTTCATTGCAATTTTCCATATATTTAAGAGGAAGGCGTAGCCCTTACAGGAAAGCTCAAAATTTTGAAATTGAAACAGTAAATTAACGGTGATTCGCCATTGAATCACCGGAATTCAGCAATGGTCTCTGTTGAATTACCGTTGATATTTTTGCACGGGAGGTCGGGTAGTTTCACGTCCTATACCATTTTACCTGCCCAAGCATCTGTTCTGGCTTATGGAACAACTGTCAGAACTTTCAATAAGGTTTCTGTGTACGATCAATTGCTTCGCAGAGCTTCATAATTTTTTATGGAAAGGAATAGTCTAGGCTCTGCATTCAATTGTGTTCGCACCGAGAAACATAAGAAAATATTTTAATTTTCGTTCGTCAGAACGGAAAATAAATCCTCTTATGGAAACGGAAATAAAAATTGACAAATATTTCCGGCTGTAACATTATACATTGAAAATATTATTCAAGAGTAAGTTCAAACAATTCGTTTTCGAATTGTTAAAAAAAAGTTTGAAGCCACATTTATTTCTCTGGGAACGAAGACTTGCTAGATTAGCATCTGATCACAGACGAGATTAGGGCGCGGTAGCTCAACAATGTGCTGGTTACATCAGTGAATGCCGAGTGAATTTCAAAATTGTTGCAGCTACAAGGAAAATGTGTTGGGTGAAAGTTTTATAAAGAGTAGCGGATCCATTAAAATACTTTTTTGTAGTTTAGTCTTCGTCTAATTTATGTTGGACTTAATCAGGAATCAAACAAATTCAAACTGTTGCTTTCTATTTCAGTCATTTCATTTCAGTTCATTTGTTTTCGTTCTCAAGATTCTTTCAGAATTTTAATGGATTCGCTACTCTTTATAAAACTTTCATAGGGGCGAAAATCCATGCCCAGTACTATCGTGATAGGATTTTGGAAGATGTCATGTTGCCTGAGTCCAGACGATTATTTCTACGTGGTCAGTGGAATTTCCAACAGGATGGAGCGACTTCACACACCGCGAACATCTTACAGTAGTAGAAGCATTTGACTTCATCTCCAAGGACAAATGGCCGCCGAGCTCGCCTGACCTTAATCCCATGGACTATTGCATCTGGTCCGTTCTCGAAGCATAGGTCAACGCCAAAAATTATCGCGGTTTGAAATGTCTACGAGATTCTCTACGCAAGGAGTGGGCCAAAATACCCAAAGATACTATTCGAAACTGTAAAGATTAATGGCTGGACAGACTCCGAGCTTGTGTTTCTCAACGAGGAGGTAGATTTGAGATCTAGTTGTAATAAGTTGGAGGTATTGCTGTTGTGTAACCGGATAATAAATTTCATTTTGTTTCTGTGAGTATTTGAGGAGTAGTGATAGATAAGGCTCGCTTTAAAACTTATGTTACACCCTGTATATACCTTAACTCTGCGTTGTCATCAACTTGGTCATTTAATTTTTTTTTCCAATCCCGTTGTGTAGAAACGCCTTGACGCAGCGAGCGGCAAATTGAAATGTAATAATAGGTATTACCTCGGGCTATACAGATGGCCACCTTTAGCCGGTGGGCCGATGACCGATTTTCATCAACCATCGGCCGGTGCCGATTGTTGTCTGAAAATTGAGAATCAACATGAAAATGCATACTAATTCAATTAGATCTACAGTATTTGGATGTGATACTTCTTAGGGGACCTCCTAAGAACGATAGAGGCCATATTTAGTACTGTCCGTCTGTGGTTAGCTTGTTACCTATTGCTGCTATTAAGGGCGTTTAACGACAAATCTATAGCAAATGCATGACATAAAAGGAGGGACTCTGATTTCCCGTTCTTTACCGCCATTTTCTTCTGGCAGTTTCTAGACTTGTGCTGAAATATAATCCGATTGATATTTTTGGGTTCGCATGTTCACTCTAATTTTTTCCCGCAAGTTTTGCCTGTTAAGTTTCGCCTCCCTTAAGCATCGGCATCGGCAGCTTGCAAACCGGCCGATGGCCGATAATGCAACACCGGCGGCTGATACCGGTGGTAGCTGATGCATCGGTACATCCCTAGTATTAACCTGTTTGTTTATTTTCTTAATTTATCTCTTATACACCATCAACATCTTCAGTATCGGTACTGAAACCTTGTCCTGAAGGTGGCTCTGTTCCAAACCGGATTTATTCGAATTGCGTACGTTAACGGCTACCGAATCATACCTAAATTGTGGAAGTGAACATAGCAGGGAAAAATACTTATGCAAGATTGACGAACCGGATTTAAATGTGTGTAAATACGAGAATTTATGTTAAATAAGAGGATTGCGCAAATTCGCGGTTCAAGGCATGCCAAGAAGACAGAAGCAGAGGTTACGAGACGCGAAAAAAGAGGTAAAATAAAGAAAAGACAGGGAGATAGACTAGCTTCCAGGCTGGGAGCTCTTTACCATGAGAGGTAGAGAACACAGAACAGGGAACTCATAAAGGGGGACAAAGGTGCAACTGTGACGCACAGGGGTGTCCAATACTTAATGTAGAAGACAGAGTTTTCTGTAGTTTCCCCACTAAGGCCATCACAAAAAAGTATTACTTTTCGGATTTACCAAAATTCTGCATTCCGCTAGGGAGAGTCAAAATCCCTCGATATAAAAGACCCTACGACGTATGCAGCAGAGAAACAATCAAGTTCGAGCGACTTCTGAGCGGAAAATGAGAAGGAAAAGAAGACAATATGTCGTGCACGATATAAGGGCCAATATTTCCATAGAATTTGAAACAGTCCCGATTCTCATTATATGGACCGTTTGTATGAATTATAGAGAATGAATTATTTGTTGTGAATGATTGCATCAAATGGAAAATGTCACTCTCTGCAGGAGGGATCTACTTTATGATTTCACGGTCTCTGGGAGCGGAGTTTGGCGGCGCCATCGGACTCATGTTCACGATTGCGAACGCCATCGCATGTGCTATGTACGTGATCGGGTTCTGCGACTCCCTCAAGGATCTTCTCAGACTGGAATTCGACAACATGGTGATCCTGGACGGTGGGCACAACGACACGCGGATCGTCGGATGTGCCACGGCTGTCATTGTCCTTGGCATCGCCATAGTCGGCTTGAAATGGGTTTCCAAGGTATCTCGATGGGCCATATGGCATCCTATCATAGTCCTCATTGTATTCTTCACGATTCCATTCTTGACAATTTTTATTGGGTGGCTCAAAAAAAAAAAAAACGCGTCCTGTCTAACGCTTTATGAAATTGGAAATTACAGGTTTGCAATTATCTTGCATCACATTAGAAACACTACAAAACTTGTTTCCTGAAAGTTTCAAGTGCCTATGTCGAATGGATAAAAAGCAACAGTCAACGTACAATCATAAAATGTAAATTTTTTCATGCATGAGGTGGATATAGTCCCAGCACTGCTCAAGGCTTTTGGCGACAAATGGGATACATCTGTAGAGCACTTTTGAAACCGATGCTTCCCGATCGGAGGAAAAGCGAAATTTTATAATCGGAGTTTCAGCAGTTGCTTAGTTGTTACCTAAACAACTGAGAGGCCTCGTAATTTTCATTAAATAAATTTTAGCGCTATCTGTGTGATACAAAATATGACGTAAAATATAAATAAATCTAGCATTTCCACAATAGATTTTACGATGTAATGTCAAATCCAATTTTCAATGGATCCAATTTTCAATTTCTTTCTTCAAACCCCCCCCGGCCTCTCTACGAGACTCACTAACGTTAGGCCTAGGCCGAACCAACAGACCACCTTCAAGTCACAACAAGGCCTATCTTATTCTTTCCAAGAGAAACTCAATTCTCGACTTAGGGCGCCAATTAGGCCTATAAGGGTGAATAGTGGTCTTCGAGACATCTGGGTTAAGGACGTGTAACGTTAGGCTAATCGCAGGCCTATCCACACGTTCACGAACCGTTTCAGAGAGGACGTGTAACGTTAGACCGATTGGAGGCCTGTTTCGCGTTTCATGAACTATTTCAGTGGGACGTGGAACGTTAAGCCTATCTGGAGTTCCTCGAACCATCTCGAATAGGCCTAAGGTGAGAATGCCTTCAATAAGCATGGAATCCATAGTACGCGCCAGAGACATGGTAAATATACCTAGACTGGACATGGCGGTCGAAGATCTCACGCCGATTTGAAGGGTTGGCGGCCATTACTGATGGCGTCAAGGAGAGAATGAGGCATGGTATTCACTGCAGCGCACGGTAGTCATGGTCAATGTGTTCAGGATTCGGATGCTGTGAAAGACCACCGACCGCGTCGGGTATCGCGTCTTTCAATGATGAATCGGGCTTGATTGACCCTTTTGCGGGGTCTATCCATAGGTGTGACGGAATTTTCTTAGCCTCATGTAGACGCTGGGCCTAACTGCGTGGGAAACGTGCGTGGATAATGCACCCTCTCATTATTAAGTGCAATGAAAATAAAGACGATTTCTACTCCTCAAAGACAGAATAGGTAGCATTAATTAATTTTCAAAATACCATACTTCATCACTGAAGACCTGGTCTTCGTGGAGAGCGTCAAAACTCCGTAGTGTGACGTCAGGTATTGGAAAGCTATTGGTCGACTTGACGCCCCGCGAGGGGAAGCTCCTGAAATGCCGAACTTTCAGTCTTCCGTGTATGCCGATTTTACACTAGTCCTCGAATGCCGATGGAGTTTTGTCCTTTAATGCGACTGGGTCGATGAGAAATATCTCTCCACTCTGGATGATTCCGGGAATGCCGAAGTCAAAATTTCGGCATAGAGGGACAGGTCGGCGGAAAAGGACGTCCCTTTGGGGCAATATCCTTGAATGCCAACAAAAAAAAAATCATTTTTTCTTTGCATTCTCCGCCCCCCCCCCATCTAACACTTCCGGCAAGATTTCTTCGGCGAAGTGTATATGATAAATGGGAATGGTCTTTGATAAACGACGATCATGACTGAGGAGGCAACTTGTAGACTCATGCATGCGATACAACCTTCCACACTCGAAAGAAAATCACTCCAGGTTGCATTAAAGCTCTTTACATATAAGAGGACAAGCTCACCAGACGGGCTATTGCAGTTTTCCATTTCATCGACACAGCGACGAAATTATATGCTCGAGGCAAGCCAAAGGAGAAAAAAACAGCAGATTTCTCGGTGGTGTGTCATTCACAAAATTATTTGATATCTCAGCAACATCCGAACATCATACCTTTTAGAAATATGTCGACTAAGGAAATTACGCAAACGCTTACATACGACTTTAAACCTTTGCAGTCATCAAGATGTAAATGAAATTAGTCATTGGTCGGCATTCCTGGAGGAGTCAAGGATGGGGAGACTAAAGAATCAAAACTCAGAAAGTTAAAATGTACCTTCCTGAATTCGTGTGAGGACGGTGGAGTGGTGGTGGAGTAGTCGAAATGAAGCGCATTGGTCATGAAATCAAGGGTTCGAATGCAGTCTAGGTATATTTACCATGTCTCTGGTACGCGCCATCCTGCTAATTCAGGGATGTCCGGATAAGATAGCTGCATATTCCACCACATCGATCGATAACAGCCAACCACCGCTTCATTCTCAGCTCAACTCGTGAACTCAGCGCAAAAATGTCTCATACATAAAAAAAAAACAGAAGATCCAGACGCCAATACGAAGGATGAAACAGTCTTGAATCTGGCATAATTTCGGCACGGTATCCGACAACACTGAGGGACGGTACCGGAGCAAGCACTCTAAGCCTAATTGAAAGACAGCTAATTTCATTTTTTATGCCGAAATGGAGCATCGCAAAGTACAAAAAGCCACTTTTCGTCATTACGAGTCAATGTCTTTCTTATGGTTGGTCTCTTTCCTCCGAAAACCCCCAAGGAATGGCTACCCAGGGGGGAGGGAGAAAAAAAAACCAATGAAATTCACATCCTCCAAAAACGAGACTCAGTGTTCTTCACAACCCCGGGGAGATGGAGCTTCAAATTTGCTGGAGCGATTCTGTGGTGAGAGAGGAAGAAGTATGCCAAATTTCGTTGCTGTTGATGCACTCAGAGAGGAATACGAGGAGGTTGAATTTTGCTGCGGGAAGGGGTTGAAGAAAGCTAATAGGGGCTACCGCACCTATTGATAAAGCCTCAAAGAGAATGCTTATTTTTTGTTGTTGCTCCAGCTAGTGTTTTCATTTTGCTTGAATTTCAGTCTTGAACTTGTATGCTTTTCTTGAAGCGACCACCAAACATGCTTTTTTTTTTAAACAAAATCTGTTTTGATGAGAACGTGTGGGGATCCCCGGAACGGTAGGCACAGCTGGCGCTGTTGGTGATCTTGGTGGCAGCCCAGGTGGACTTCATCGTTGGGAGTTTCATGGGACCCTCTTCCAAGGACACCATCGCCAAGGGATTCGTCGGGTGCAAAGGTCATCGTGATGCCCGTCTGGAACGAAGTTTCTCAGGATTCCTTGTTTCACGCGTGTTTCTCTCGTGTCTCGTGCGTTTATTTAGACGAGGTTTTCCGTCACAACTGGTACAGTGCATACGGGCCGTCCAGGATCGACGATTCGGATCAGGGATTCTTCTCCGTCTTTGCTGTTTTCTTCCCCGCCGTCACCGGCATCGTTGCCGGCGCTAACATGTCTGGAGACCTCAAGGTCTCTCACGACTATTCTTTCTCTTCGACTAATTTATTTTGTTTCTGCTTTTGATCGTGATCGTGGAACGCATTGGAGCCGTAGGAAGAATCGTAGAGCATGATGACCCGTTTTGATAAAAATGTTTAATTTCGACACTCGCGTTGATCTAGACGTGTAAACTTAAGAATGGGAATACTCAATCCCTTTTAAAAGGTGTCGAGGATCGCCGAATTTAATCTGTTTCGGTTTAGTATTTCCGGAGATCCGGTCGGATGTGTTTGGAAGTATGCATCTTCTCCTGAGGTTACGCATGCAGAAAAACTTGCAGAGTCTACTGAATCGATTTGGACGAATGAGACTGCGCTAGTTTCGTTCTGGTATAGTGTCTGCTGGGATGTCAAATACTCATCTAGTACTGGGGATAATCAATAATACTTAACTAAAAAAAAAAGCAGATGGACTTGGGAGAAACAAATGCCGAAGTCGATACACGTTCTTTTTTACTTCTGCTTTGGAAGTGGGCTCTCCAGTGTCTCAAGTACTAATCCAGTTGTGAAAGTTCATAAATGCGCATTTTTCCCACCTCATAGATCTGGCGTTGATGACGCCTGACATCTGCGACTCATAAACGCTGCAGAAGTGGTTGTAGCTAACGGTTCCAGTATATGTTAGATTTGAATATATTGCGCAGGGGTGGTGCGTGGACGGTCACGAGTTGAACTTCGCTCCTTGGAACCGGTCCTATAACCTTGATGTGGGTGTTCTGGTTTGCGCTAAAATGTATTGCAAATGATAACTGGGATTCACCAGCTTCCGATCTCCCAATTGTCTGATTGCAATATGCCTCTGATAGGCATCCTAGACGGCTTTGCTGCATAGCGACGACTGCCTACCTAGTGACGGGAATCCGGTCCTTTTATCGACAAGAACGTTACGTGACATTGTGCGTAATTTCATTTAAATAATGACATGCACATGCATTGTTCTGGGCTATTGCGTAAACGGTTAGCGGTTACAGCTCGTGCATATTTAAATGCGAAAAAGTGTCAGACGATTAAGCACGCCCCTCCTAACTTGAATTCCTTGCCACATGTGATACCATCAATGAAATGTATTTCACCATACAAATATTTTAGCGTTTCCTCTTTGAGTTGCTACATATAATGTCTTCCAGAACACAGAAGATATTGAGCAAAGATTTATCAATGGAAACCGTATGAATAGGCACAAAATGACGTGTCTGCGGCTGCCATGCGTCCTTTTGAACGTCTTTAGTATCGAACTGGTACAGAAAATACTGAAATTTGTAATAAAAATAAAAGTAGCCAACAATAGTAAAGATTACTGTACCGATTTGTGGGAGGAAAGTATGAAAGTGCAAGTTAATTTGCCTCTTGGGGGTCTTACGTGCTCAACTCACCCTTGACAGTGAGATAGGCGTCCACTCGCCTGGACGTTCCGTCCAACCTATCTAACGCCGGGGAGTAAGAATTACTTGCAAAGAAAAAGTCACACTAGAACAAATAACCGGAATATTTTTTATGTATCATAGTTCCAATTGCATGAGGTAGCGAGAAGCCGAGAGCAGAATCCCCGAGGAATACATTATTACTTGGGTTTCATTTCATCATGCACTATAAGCCAGACTCATACGTGCGATGAAAAAGAAGAGTATGTCTGCATGCGATTGTTATTAAAACTTGAATTGAGGGGATCTTCATATATTCATACCAATCTTGGGCCATAATTATTAGTAAGAATAAGAGTTGCAGCTCTCGTATGACACCTTTAACAGAAAAGTAAACTTCAAAAGGGACCATTTCATCCTCCTTATCGTCCTCGTTAGATTAGTTCGGTTTATACTCTCCATATATGGAAATAGGAAAACTATCAGGATGGTAAGTAGTAAAAAGCCTTTCCCATGCACAGAAGATTCTTGATGGCGTTTCATTGTGGACTTTTGAATTAGGACAATTTGTTTTTACATAATTTGTATTTTTAAATTCAGAACTGAAAGGGGTAAGGGCATGATCGCAAATAACCTTTTCTCCCTTATGTATGCTATTAATTATTGGTCGCCTTTTTTTAGGCTTGCCCTTCCCCTTCCAATTCCTCCCGCACTTTATCTGGTTAATGCTTTCATAGAAAGGCTACTTGGTCACGAAATAAGCTATTGAAAGTTGCTCTAATTATTTTGAACATATGAGTTTTAGTCTTCCAGTAAGGATCCTGGGTTGCAATGCTGATGATATCGTGAGAATTTTTAGATTTCGCTTAAGAGTACGGTTTGTACGGTTTCCGGCTAACAAATCCCGAGTGACGAAATGAACGAACCGAAATGATGGATCGACTGATACTTGCAGGACCCAGGATCGGCGATCCCGAAAGGAACCCTCGTGGCCGTCTTCATTACGTTCACCTCTTACATCGGGTACGGGATGATGTCGGGCGCGTGTTCTGTCCGAGAGGCTTCGGGTAATCCAGAAGAAGTCCTCGACATGGAGAACCTCTCCAGCGTATTTCTGCATCCGGCCTTCAACTGCACGGGAAGAGACTGTGAATGGGGTCTTCTGCAGAACAGCCAGATGATGACTGTCGTCTCCGCTTGGGGTCCTCTCATCTACGGAGGATGCTTCGCTGCCACCCTCTCCTCTGCCATTGCCAGCATCGTCGGTGGACCTCGAGTCTTCCAGGTGGAATTCCATCTCATCGAGTCGACTGGAAGAAATTTTCCTCCTGACAGTCCTTTCTGTCCCATAGGCATTGGCCAAAGACCGACTGTACCCAGGGCTCCACTTCTTTGCAGTCGGGCATGGACCAAACAACGATCCTCTAAGGGGATATATCGCCTGCTTCCTTCTCAGCATTGCTTGCATACTCATCGGTTCATCAATTCATATTCGATCCATCATCTCTCTCGCTTTCTCTATATTTATCTTACCCTCTATCGCGCAAGTAAGGCAACCTGCAAAGGCAGTCTCCATCTACAGTACATCTAGAGAGAATGAAACTATAGTACGAGACTATTTGTTCATTGTTGGTGTTCAAGGTCAGAATCAGAGTATACTTCGTATAAAGACTTCTTTAAAAAAAATTGATTCTGTGATAAATTCCTCATGACTGGGAGTCTGGGAGTGGCGTTTAGATCATTCATGGGACGCATAGCCTCACCATCATTGCTTACTTGTACCTCTTGCAGCTGACCTGAATGCCGTGGCGACGCTGCAAGTGAATTTCTTCCTGGCTGCTTACGGACTCATCAACTTCTCTGCCTTCCATTCCAGCTTCTCCAAGTTCCCTGGCTGGCGTCCTGCCTTTAAGGTGTGTATAACCACTAGACCACGAATATTTGCGCCAAATATGCACGCCAAAAAGGAAATTCTTCTTGGAGGTTTAAGGTTCGGTTAGAGGAGTTGAAAAACAATTCTTTCCTCATTGACTTGTCGAGTCGATTTCGAGTGTTCAGTTGATATTGTCCTCCGGATACTTTCCGTTTGACAGATCATCTCTCCTGAAGTCATGCCGTCCATTCATGACCGGTAGACATTCCGCCACATTATTGTTATGATGAGATGGTAGAAATTCTGAAATATATTTCCTTGCCAAAATTATGGTATCAAAGCAATGAAATCTCGCTGAAGAATGGCTATTTGCGAATGTGACTGGGCTGAGGCATCCGCCGTTTGCTATGTATTTTTTTAAATTATCAAAATGCGTCTGAATGCCTCTTCTTGCATTTATTCCATATCCCCTATCTCGTGTTTCCGCATTGGTATTACATTCTCCGTGGAGGTCCTACAGTACAAGATCATTATTTGCCCCGAATATGCACGAAAATGGGTCCTGGAACTCTTGAAAAGCAATCTATACATTTTGAGACGAGATTCTTATTTTGGCATAATTTTCCCTTTTTTCATTGATGATCTGTCATAAAATTTCTAGATAATTTCATCGCTATGATGAAGCAAGAAAGGAATAAAGAGAATTTCCTCTCATCTCTTACCTGTCAGTATAGTCCTATCAGTCATACCTTTATCTCTGTATTTTCTTTTTGCACTCAGGAAATCGGCAGTAACAACTGAAGACTTAGTGTCATGCCTGCAGGGCTACAGAGTTTCAGCAGAGCACGGCTATCTCATCAAGGGAGGAGGGGATTTTAGGCCCTTAATATCGGAAAAAAATTAAAGGGCTGGTTAAATATAATTTCTTTTTCAACCTGAAATGATCGATCACATATCTAGCATTCATGTACTGGAGGTCAAGTTTACAGATTCTCAACCCCAGTGATGCTGTGAGGAGGTAAAGAGTAGTATTTTTTTAAAACCAAAACTGACACTTCTCGAGAAGCTTGTGTTTTCCCGACATTGTTTCATATGATGTGCCATCTAGTTCCACAAATTTTTTTTATAGCTGGAAAAACCCTTCAAAGCATCATTTTTATTTCACCTACTTACAAATTTTGTAGCAGATGGTGTTCAAGTGCTACTGCAAGTTTTTTTCTTCATTTTACACGTATCATAAACCCTATACGATGTAGGGTGGCCCATACGTCACGGACCCAACGGATTTCCCTTTTTCTCTTATTTTTTTTGTCACGAAACTGCGCCGCTCTTTGAATATTTGTGACGCCTCTGAAACAGCAGCTAGCAAAACAAAGTTACCGTCATGCATGCGTCTATCCGCCTTTTGACTATCCTAAAATTGTTACCAGTTTATCTTTAGCCGTTTCTGCACTGGAGTGATTTTGCAAAGGCAACAGGAATTTTTTTTTGCGTTCACACCTGTACTGCGACGGGAGGACCTGCTCCATTGACTAGGAAGGACAATTCTTTTCAAGAAGTTTTTCCCCTGCACTCTGCATCCGCCAAACAGATCTCTGACTCTTCCTTACGTCTGGCAATTGTCAGATGGGGGTTTTGCTTCCCAGGTTTATCATCTTGAGAAACAATCTATAGAAACGCAGTTTCCTTTCGTTCTTCCAAGTTTTAGTCTTCCGCTCCTCTTCCTCTCAAATGAAACGGTTTCTTGCAGTTCGTAAATCAGTTTCTTAACGATAAGCCTACATTTCTTTCATCCCTAACCAGGAAATTATAACAAAATTATTGCCCCACCCCATCCTTTCGCAAAAAGCAGCATTTTCATGAGCAGACGGAGGAGCTCTGGTCCGAGATTGGTGTGCTCAACGTGTACCAATCACACTCCCGCCGATGCGTTTCCTCGTCCAAAAAAATCAAAATTGAGCTGCCTTCGTGTAATTGCTTATGTGCTAAAATAGCTGGAACAAGAATTTCAGGACGTTTCAAGGATACATAGAAGTCGTTGCAAAAAAAACGAGCCGTGCTATCTGCTATCTAATGAACTTCAAGGATTTTTTGTCTCACCCGGTACATTCCATAGTAAATTTTTCAACCAATATGTTCTCCATATCAACTGAAATTGCCGTGAAATATATTTGAAAAAAAAAGACTGTTTTGCATATTATATAAGATTATGAATGTGAGACCTTGATTTAGGTCTATAATGCATACTACTGTATAAGTAGAAATGGTGGCTCGATGGAGTCCTAAAGGATTCCGCTCGCAACCCGGACTTCCGCCTACAGTGCCCCATTCACAATTACTCAGTGGTCATTCTAACAAGAAGCACACAATAGCGTGAAAAGCATTTCCTGGTCGCTTTCAGTAACTTAGTCTCATTGAGAGCTTAAATTTATGCGTAAACTCAAGCCTCGAGGCGGTTATCAACGGTAATCGCTTTTTTTCAGAGAAAACGAAGGCCTTTCCTCGTGCAAAAATTCACTTCTTGCTAATTTGGAGGCAGAATGACAACTCGATGACCCAAAAACAGTTCGATAAATGCGAAGGCCTTTCTTTTAAATTAAATATGTGAAATAATGTGAAATTTATATGGCAATATAAAAATGGACTTTTGAACTAAGAATAATCACAAAGTTATTGATTTCGATTACGAATTTGGTCCAAAAGCATTGAATCGAAGAGATACAGTGTTTGTTAGTTTTGTCTTTTGTCAGCCGCTTAAGAATAAGCGAGTTTTTGTGAAAGACTTTATGCATAATTTTAGAGGACCATCTGAAGCATAACAGTTTACGGTTATCTGCGTATCTTGCGTAAATTCGAAGGAATTTCATGTTAGGTGCTGCTCGCATGGAGGTTACGTTCACTTATTGAAACATTTGTTACTCTAGACTGTTACGAACTCCTATTTCGCGAAATGTCGTTTGATTGACACCTGACACTTAACCTTCAGCAAATTTTCTTCCTAAGGCCTCGTCCACACCAGAAAGTTTTCTAGGCAATTTTTCTTTGCAAGTCGACTTGCAAAGAAAATTTTCATGGTGTGGACGTCTTTGAAAGTTCCATTTGCAAGAAATTTTCTTCCCGAGTCCTCTTTGCAAGAGGCTTTCAAAAGTAGAAACCCAGTCTAATTTTCTTACAAAGAAGGTGAAAGATTTCAGTGTTGAAAATGGAGTGGAACATGGAAAAGACTGTTGAGCTGAATGAGAAATATCAAAAGGAAGAGTGTCTTTGGAACGTGAGAAGTGTCCTGTACAAGGACAAGAAAAGAAACCAAGATGCCTGGTCTAATCTTGCAACGAAATTGGAAGTATCGGTGGCTGAAGTGCAAAGTAAAATTCTAAATTTGAAAGTCCAGTGGAATACAGAGAAGAAGAAAGTGTACATATCAATGAGGAGTGGAGCAGGCAGCGATGAAATTTTATGTTTTCCTACAAGCTCTTTTTGTTATTTTGGCTGACGTTGGGGAAGTAAAAGAGACACAAAGCATTTGTGATATTTGATAAATGCGAAAAATTAATATTCAGTACCAAACATTGAATAGCCAATGGCATGGGGAAAAAAAAAACCTAAAACACTTTCTCAGTTCATTGCAAAACCCACTGCTAGGGAACACTACCAATTTCGGAGGAGAAAAACTCAGGAAACTCTTCCCTCACTCGCTTTTGCTGAGAGCCAGAATGCATTCGTTTATTCGAAAGGATAATGATAAAGTGTTACATGTGCCGTGGAGAGCCAGATAGGTAGGGTAAAACACCCAGTGATGGACCTGTTAAGGGCGGGTACTCGGTGATAGGTCCCGTTGCAGGAGCTCGGAAAAAAATTGCTAGAAGTGGGCAAGACGTCTGCTCTTTAAAAATGCAAATTTTGTTTGCTCTTGGGTATTGCATAGGTGCACTAGGCAGCGTTGAGAGTTCCAACTGCCTTTTTGAATATCCCCCGATACCTGCATGAACTCAGGCAGTGTGAAGTACCGCGTCTTCAATTCCTGTACAAAGCATCACAAACTTCTGGGACGAAAGAAGATAAGGATTGCTTTAGACATGCGGTAGAGATACTCGTTAGAGGCCGATGAAGCTGTCTCCACGCGCCAAAAATCTCAGAGTAATTACCAGCCTCTCTCCAGCCGAAATGGACTCACGATAATGTGTCCTTTCACGAATTAAGCGGTCCGACTCATTTCCTCAAAATCTTGCCCATTCGTTCGTACAAAATTCTTGACTCCAAGGGGATCTTCAATCCGAAGTTCCCATGAGAGAGGAATAAGCACCATGTTCGTGTCTCCGCTGCAACAAGTTCCTAGCCCAAATTGCCTCCGTTTTCTCTTTTTTAAGAAGAAGAATCGTGACGAACTTCGCTGCCGCGCGTTGTTTCCTTGTGAAGAGTGCCATCTGGAATACTTCACTTTCGTATGGAGAACGCCCTGACGAAGAAAAATCCTTGCAGAAAGAACTTTCAAAGACGTCCACACCATGAAAGTTTCTGGTCTGGACCAGGTCTGGACTATCTCTGAAAGTTTTCTTTTAAAGTTTTCTTCTGCAATATTCTTTCATTGTTTATACAAGAAAACTTTCCTGATGTGGACGAGCCGTAAGCCATAAGCACTTTCACCGTGTGAACAGCAACGTTCACCTCTTACTCGTTATGACAGAAACGTCAGAGATATTCATGTTTTTGTTCAACGGTTACGTTCATTACTATATTATGATCCTGTGCTCTCTCCAACAGCCAGCAGCCAGTCATTAACCAGATACACACTCTACAGTATATTGAATGTCATGCACCTCCACATTAGCCCGTTATCTCTTGTGAGAAACGGTATGGAAAGATTTGGCAAGTCCAAATATGCCATTTCAACGGATTTTTCTTTGCCATTTTATGTCATTTCAACGGAAGACCACCATCGTTGTCAGGAATGCTGTCGAAATCGCGTTCGAAAACTGAGAAAAAGTAACGAAGTCTTCCATTCCTCCTACAGTTCTACAATCTATGGTTGAGCCTGTTGGGAACGGGGATTTGCGCAGCCGTAATGTTCCTCATCCAATGGGATGTTGCCCTTGCCACCTTCGCCGTCACTCTTATCCTGTATCTCTATGTCTCTTACAGGCGACCAGGTGGGTCCATTTCGTGTAGTCCAAGGCATTTCCTTTTCTTTTTCCTTGACACCAATTCCTTTTTTTGTTATTCTTAATGAATGCAGATGCGAACTGGGGCTCGAGCACGCAAGCGGCTGCGAGCACGAACGCATTGAGATATGTGCAAAGCATGAATCGGGTAGAAGATCACGTGAAGACGTACAGACCCCAGGTCCTAGTCCTAGCCGGACATCCGAGCACTAGGCCTGCCCTCATGGACTTTGCTCATTTGATCACCAAGTCTTATGCCCTTCTAATCGTCGGCCACGTCGTTCGGGATTCTCTCCAGTACGATAACCGGGTGTCTCTCATCCAGAAAGGATACACTTGGCTCAACCGTCATCACATCAAGGGATTCTACGACGTGGTCGAGAGCGACCGCCTCGACCTAGGAACCAAAGCGTTGTTACAATTGTCTGGATTGGGGAGACTCCGTCCCAACATGGTTCTTTTAGGGTTCAAGGCTGATTGGGCCAAATGTGACCTCCTTGTCACTCTTCGATACGTCAACGTCATCCAGTGAGAATAAACAATTTCCTTATTTCTTGTATGCAGCCGTTTAGGAGGATTAAATAGAAGTGGACTGTGTGTCTTGCTTCGCAGCGAGGCCTTCGACAATTGTCTGGCTGTAGGGATCCTCCGACTTCAGGGTGGACTCGACTTTTCTAGCTTCGTCGAGGAGAACGGGGAGATTGCTGAAGAGAAACTCAACATCTCCAAATCCTGCGAAGACGGTAAGTCTACAGAAAAACGGCTTGATTGATGTAAGATGAGATGCACACCAGGTGAAGGGGACATGGTTTCCTATATCATCTAGCTGCTGATCCAAGGACGCACCACGAGTTACTGGCCTCCTCAAGTCATCTTTTATATCCAGTGGCGGCTCGTGGGTAGAAAAACTGGGTAGGCAGCAGTAGCGCATACAGGGGGGGGGGCCGCCACATCAGAAGGGGACTAATAGTCGCCCCCTCCAATTGTAGCAGGCACATATTTGTCCCTTTCTCTCCTCCCCCATTCCCCCCTCTTGGCTACGGGTTTGACATAAAAGTTTAGAGTTTTTGCATTCAATAATTGTAAATAGATTTCTAACAATCAGAACAAGCCATCAAGGAAATTGCTTGCATCTATCAGGAAAGATTTAAATTTAAGCCTTCGATAAATGAAATTATACCATTCGGAGACACCCCAGGAATGCGAATCACTGTCAGTCTTGACTAAACAAATCACTGGGAAACCGTGCCTCTTCCAGGAGAGAGCATCAACCATAGTGGGGTAAGCAAGGGGAGACGGAACCCTGGGACTGATAAAAGCCTGTCCGGAATGATTCCTTATTCAATCTGTATGAAAATACTGTAGAATAGGTCCGATTAGTTGTGACAAGTATCGAGGTTTCAACAAGCAAGTGCTTCTGAGCGGAGAGCGGGAGCAAGGAATTCTCCTCTTTACTTTCCTGCGCAAGGAGTAACTACGCAACGTAGGCAAGCCTATCCTGTCTCATTCCAGGGCTACGGTTCTTGTCCCTCTCTCCCTCTTCTCGTCCCTGCATTTGATTCGTGTGGATTTGAGCCTAGCCAGCGTAGGCTGGCAACTCAATAAATTTGCAAACAATAGTTCGAGAATTCTGATTTTAAACTGGGTAGGCACTGCCTACCCTGACGAGCCGCCACTGATTACATGGTACTCTTCTCTCCATCTCTCAGAGAAGGGAGAATCGGAGACGCGATCGACTTCCTCAGGAGAACTGGCTCACGAAACCAAGTCGAGCGAGAAATCGCAGAGTAGCGAGAGGATTGCGATGAATCTCACGTACTGCGGAATCGGCGGAGCCGCCTTGCCCGACGATGTTTTGGACAACCTCACCCGATTCCAACATCCCCTGAAGAAGGGAACCCGGATGGACGTCTGGTGGCTGTACGACGACGGAGGACTCACCATCCTCCTCCCTTACATCTTGAAGCAGAGGGCCCAGTTCTCCTTCGCCTCCCTCAGGATCTTTTCCCTCGCCTCCTCCAAGGGAGAACTGGAACACGAACAGAGAAGGTTACCCCCCTCCCCCCGCTCTCTCTCTCTCTCTCACACTCTCTTCCTTCAATCTTCTCCATATCGTCTCC